ATGTTTGAGACTCTTAGAGAATCAACTATAAAAACAACAAGTAAACTTTGATTTGGTAGTCAAATGATTTAGTATTCGAAATCGTAAATCAACATGAATCGAAGCAGAACCGAACGAAACCAAACCATTGATATTTTCCGATTCCGATTTCAATTTTACATTGAAATTGGGCCCAACCACACCATGCTCACCCCTGCCTAAGGTCATCTCTTGGTTTTAGCCTTATTTGGTTAAAGACCCATCTCCAATGGTGGGTTAAGGAGATTCTTACAAAAAGATTAGGGCCTAAAAGGCTTAAGGGTTTGCCATACGTAGCTCATTTAGAAGTCCGGGTCCATAAATGTTCATGGACCCACCCATGTGGTTTTTTTTTTGGGAATAAACATAATGAAAAAAAAATAATGTACTTAGCAATAAACTTTGATTCCAAAAAAAAAAAAAAAAAAAAAAAAAACAAACAAACAAACAAACTCGAACTTTAACTAAGCCATAAATAAATAAAAATAGTTTAATTTAAAAATTACGTCTTAGCTGAATGTGTGAAGGTTGATATTTCTCAATATGCCAAAAAATAATAAAATATTGAGAAGAATAAAAATTTAGCCTCTGCACTATTGAAGATGGATATTGCGATCACTTTAGACAATGCATGCATCATATATATATATATATATGCCCACTTTACATATACACTAATAATGCAGACGTAGAAAGAATGGGTACGGGACTTCAATTCATTGAGAAAATGACAAGTGCTGGGGTATGCAAAGCTAAGATGGGTACATGCATGCTACCCTTATCCTCCTAGTCCTGCCTTCGAAGTCCCACAACAAACATTTATACGTACAAGATTACAAGGGTTCGCAAAAGTACACATATATGTACTCATATGCATTGTTGCTTGCTTTTTACAATCAATTTTCATTTAATTTTCCATTATATGTATCATATATATATATATATATATATATATATATATATGCGTGCATATATAATGTAACAGTATAAGGAAATGTGATAATGAGTTAGTTATAACTAGATATCTAACTTAACATAAATATTATATGCTCTCACTATATATGTGAGTTGAACTAATGAGACATCTCACTTACTCACTTATTAGTAAAATGAAATCACATTAGACCGTGACACCGGTTGATATGTAGAATAATCAATATGAGAGGATAGGGCACATTGAGCAGATATGAATTGGAGGAGGGTCCCGGGGGGTTTGCATGTGGGATGATGAAACCCCGAATACATGGCGTACGTGACGTGCATGCCTGCATATACTCTGTTTAAATTAGATAATATATTCAAATTTCAATGGATTTGCTGCCCAATTGTCTCCAAGAATCTTTTCACCCATGTTATATTTTGTTAAGCAGATATGATCGATATGTTCTTGTCCCCCTTCCCCTCCATAGCTAACTTTTTCATGACTTTCGCCCTCTCCTTTTTTTCTTATCCCTTTATTTTATCACAAATGATTAATTACTACCACTGCGTATTTTTTGTTAAGTTGTCTATATGTATATAGAAATTAAGTGACAATTAATCACTTAATTAAGCAATTTCACATGCATATGGGTTATTAATTGGTAGTTAGGTAAATGACCTAATAAGAGGCAGTTGCATATTGATTTCATGGAAAAGTTGGGTCGGCAGCTCTTATTTTAGATAAGTAGTTAGGCTCCAGCAGCTGCTTAGGTCCAAACTCTTTATTTTTTTCTTTCCATATTACTAAACATTATTTATAACAAGATCAACTTGTAGGATTTATTTTGAGTGCATGATAATTAACTATAACTAGAGCTATAACCCCTTGCAGACTAGTAAACATAACTTGTATATCAAGTAACGAAGCATATGACAGAGATTTTACATATTTCCAAAATTAATAATTAAAAAAATTACAAACTCACCTTAATTTTCATGCGCAGAGGCTATTTATATGTTGTTGGTAATTGTAACATGCTGCATGCTTACGAATCAAAACCCTGCAGACGTTATTTAATTGATTAGAATTGCTGAGTAATTAGCTGGAAGCATAATCAGTATATATACAGGTCATGAGACAAAATCTTAGCAGGAATTAATCGATCAGAACGAAAAGGAAAAGGAGCTATTTAGGGATAAAGAAGCCCACATGGAGCACGAAATTGGTTTTTGAACATGAAGAAAATATGTCCAATAAAAGGAAGCTTGTAATGGTCGTAATGGGCAAAAAGAAAAAAGGTCACTCCCCACAAATTGGTTAAAGTACGAGCACGAGTTGCTATTGAGTTTCACGCGTTGGTCAACTTGCTATGATATCATAAAGAAAGTTATAGTTTTTTCACATAACTAATTGACAATATGAGAATTAACTCAATGTATTTATAAACTCATATAAAGTTCTCCTTTTACTGGTGTGAGATTATTTAACTTCACATTCTCACAATGTATATCTGACAAATAGGATCATATATTTTCATTATAGAATTATTATAAAAGCACAAATTCGTCCTTTATTAATGCATAACAAGAACAAGAGGTTGAAGCTAGGAATATACAGCTTTTGTCTAACATCTCTTTTTCTCTCCATCAATTGGATTTGATCTTGACCATGAGTTCCAACCCCTTCACATTGCCAGCTCTTCGCAACATATTATAATATTATTGAGCAACTTATGAAGAAAAAGGGTAAACAAAATACTGCTTTTCACACACCATTTCTTACTTTATACACATTGTTTTAGTTTTGTAGTCGTTAGATTAAACAATCAAAATAAAATCAACGGTCAATATTAACAGAGAATGTACACAAGATAAAAAAGATTGTGTTGAAATCACTAAAAAAAAGGGAGAAGCAAATGCATAACATCGATCCTCTAAACAAATTAAGCTCATAATTAAGGTCAAATTACATTGACTTAACATATAGTTGGTAGCCCAAGTAGCAAGATTTCACTAGGGGAGAGTGAGGAAACAAAATTAATTAATTATAAATACAGAAATAAACTAGTTATTGGTGCTTTGAAACACCCACATTAACCTTAAGCAAGCACATGGCTATACAAAAACCAGTTGGCTATCCTATTACTAGGCTCCTACTCCTCTCCTTGTTTGTTTATTCTTGTTATATTTGACTGCTTTAAGTTAGTCAGTACTATTCCAATTCTTTGGTGAAATAGAACAACAAAATAGTGATATATTCTCGTTTCATATAAGTCACTACATGATATGTGATAGACCACCGTTTCATGCAATTTATTTTGTTATTTAAAGAACCGTGATACTTAATTAAAATTGATTATTTCTCCTCTTCTAATTCTGGATTAATTTGTAAGCAAAAGGTCTGGCGAATTTTAGCAACAAATGTGAAAGTCATAAAATCCTTTGTTGAGAATGAGTCCCACATAGATGGGAGGAGAGACCTTGCATGAACTTATAGTAGGTTAGGCTACTCTCCATATTGCCAATTGGTTTTATAATAGAACCTCAACTTTTTTCATGGTATCAAAGTAGGTTGTCTCACGTGTGAGCCAAAACGACCACACGCACTTTGCGTCACTCCGTTGTGTAGTCCACATGTTAGGCTTGAAAATTCACCCCACGTGAGGGGGCGTGTTGAGAATGAGTCCCACATAGATGAGAGAAGGGATTTTGCATGAGCTTATAAGAAAATTAGCTACTTTTCATATTGTCAATTGATTTTATGGTGGAAGACCAATTTTATCAGGCTCGATCCATTCCCATAGCATCAACCAAGTCATTCGTATTAAGCCTATGAGCATGTCATTAATTTTGGCCTGTTTATTATTTTCTTTTTATACAAGCGATATTAAGAGAGAATAGATTCAAATTTTGACCTTGGATAGATGCACAAAAGAATGTTTTTAACTAATTGAGTCACAAGCATGAAGTGATACTAAACTTAACCAAGGGAGCTACAAAATGATATTAATGACTTAAAGAATAGAAAGATCTTATAAAAAGTACACAATAAGATGTGAACTCAATCTGATGAAGATGTTTTTGGTATAACTCCCATATGTTTATTTTTGAGAACTTTAACGAAAAGCTTCAAATACTGTTCACTTTAACGAAAAACTACATTTTTACACTAAAAAGTCAATCATGGTACTATTCACTTTACCCTTTATTTTGTCATTATTGTTAAAAAGTTTTCAAGCCCTTTTGATTAGTTTTACTTTTTTTTATTTGTCTTTCATCGCCCTTAGGTCTCAAAGTGGTAATAAACATAATTTTAAACCTGCAGCCACCCTGCTGTATAGAATCACCGGTGTATCTCCGACGGAATGCTACAGTTTTTGTCATAAGAACCAATGGTTAGATAGTGCACACGTCGGTGTAAGCAACTAAACACATCATAACTCGTGCTGATAGACGAAAACTGGACATGAAATGAAGTAGATAATTCCAAGATTTTGAAGAAAAGCTAGAAATCATAATATTCTTATACGCGGTAATTCCAAGATTTGTAACTTCTGATCGTACATGCTTGTAAAATCATGAACACGAGCATTTTGGTTTCACAACCTATTACCATCATGTGTGTGACGATTACGGAGTCATGGACAATTAATTAGTGAATCTAACAATGCATAGTTCACATCAATCAAATTGTTAGTTAGATGCTAGAGCTTTTCACCTTGTTGATCATATAGTTGGTCAATAATATTGAACATTACAAAAAACCTTTTTCAGCAATCCATCGATATCAAATCAAATCGAATAACCATTCATGCAGTTGCTCACCTCTTACAGCTCATAACAAACTCCTACGTACGTACCCTCGACCACCAATAATGTCAACTCATAAACAATTTCACAGAAGCACGGGATCTGTGCGTTTTTTCACTTTGCTTTATAACCTTAGTTTCCATACCAGTCACTATATATAGAATCCGTGACTTAGCCAAAAATATAGGCAATAACGTCCTAATATATACATATATATATATATATATATGTATATGTATATGTATATGTCTCACTATATACAAGACTAAACAGTGATAGTAACACTGTAACAGTACGAGATTTGGTGGTGATTGGTATGCATGGGCTTCATTTGCTACCCTCCAATCGGATTGCTTGAGAGATTATTTAATCTTCTGTTCATTTCATGGCTAAAGTTTGCCGTTCAATTGAGACAGAGCCTAGAACCTTGAGTGAAGGGCAACTCAACCGTGCTAGGGTGGGTAATTTTTAAAAATGAAATTTTCTTATATAATTCACCACAATTTCGTCTTTTTTTTTATTAAGTGATGTTAGAGCATGGGAGAATCGAACTCGGGACCTTAAGTGCAGCAAGAGAGAATGTTCCTAGTTAACTGAACTATAAGCTCCTTGCATCACGAGTTAAGCTTCTTGTTTTTAATTTGGACTTTTTGTACTCTTCTAAATGTTTCTCATCATATTTGCAGGAAATTGCTGCTGATGTAGTTCAGAAAATGGAACCAACTGAAGCCACAGCTCTATTCATTGAGGTTCGGTTTTATAATCTATGTTTAGAAAGAAAGTTATATTTGTGAGGAGTGCACAATCAGATTTTTAAAGTGCCAATAACAACTCCCTAATTGATACCATAGTTACATGCTTCCAAATTAAATGGCTTATGCATATGCATATAGGGATTGAGGCCGGTTGGATCAGCGAAAGAGATGAAGCATATGATTGATGGTGAGCAACTACAACTGCAGACTAAGCTTCTGGACTGGAAGGAGGAGGCTCAAATTTTAGAAAGGCCTTGCCAATGCTTGTGCTCTACGGCCATTGTTGAAACGCCCGATCAAGAAACGCAACTTATTACAGGACCTGTGTCGGCCCCATTTTGATAGTTTTCGTCTATCAAAGTTTATAATTTGACATATTATGTTATAAGGTTGTGCGACGAGAAAATATTTATATATATCAAATAAATACAGTAAGATTCGTGCCAAATTTAAATGTAAGATTAATGAAATACTGCGGTTAAATATCTCATTTTTATCAGTATAGTATTGTTGATATTTGTAAAGAATGCAGATGTGGGTCTCCATAGCAACTAAGTTTTTTCTGTTTTAATTAGGGAATGCTGGGGTTTTGTAGTAGATGCAACTGCAAACAATATGCCGTGTTCGGTGTTCATGCAATGTCGTACACATTTTGGGCTTTCGTGACAGTGTGATAAAGATTAGAAAGAAGCTTTCATTTTCATTATTCAATACAATATGTAGGAGTGTAGGATAAGCCAAGATTTAAAAGTGGTTTTGGTTGAACTTATTAACAGTAGTAAAACACTCTCGAAGGCAATGAATTTTGATAATCTTGTAAGACAAAACAATGGAGGTTTTAGTGAGAGAAAGTAAGAACTCAGGGGAGGGAGGGAGGGAGGGAGGGAGGAAGAGAGGGAGAGAGAGAGAGAGCTCTTGAAGGCAATGAACTTTGATAATCTTGTAAGACGAAACGATGGAGGTTTTAGTGAGAGAAAGTAAGAACTCAGGGGAGGGAGGGAGGGAGGGAGGGAGGGAGGGAGGGAGGGAGGGAGGGAGAGAGAGAGAGAGAGGAATATGAAGTGATTGTCATTAAAGCAAGTAAACCAATACAACAAAATTCATAGACCAAGCCTAACTAACTTTCCTTATGTGGCACACCACTTTACAACTAATTATATTCCTTAACAGATAGACCATTCAGCTATTGACACATGGACACTATATTTTCTATTATTACTCCCTCCTCAATCTCAGTTGGGATATCCCAGCCTCAGAATGCTGCAATGGTTCACGAAGACAGGACTGTGCAACCCCTTGGTGAGAACATTAGCAACTTGCGAATCTGTGTGAATATAATGAACTGTGATGTCTTTCTTTTGAACTTTTTCTTTGACAAAATGATAGTCTGTATCCAAGTGTTTAATCCTAGAATGAAACACTAGATTCGAACTTAGTGCCAAGACTGAGAGATTTTCACAATGTAATGAAGGAGGATTTGACAGAAACTCATGCAAATCTTTCAACATAGACCTTATCCAACAAACATCAGTAGTACAGTGTGCCAGTGCTTTATATTTTGCTTCAATTGAGCTTCTTGAAATTGTTGGTTGCTTTTTGGATTGCCACAAAATTGGATTATTTCCAATATACACAATGTAGCCAGTTATTGACAATCTAGTATTAATATCTGCTGCCCAATCAGTATAAGAGAAAGTTGTAATATTGATATCAGAAGAAGGAGAGTATGTGATTCCACACTCATGAGTCCTCTGTAGGTATCTCAAGATCCTTTTGACTAGAAAGAAATGTGCATCAGTTGGTTGGTCATATATTGAGAGACCACATTGACTGAATGAGCAATGTCTAGCCTTCTAAAGGTAAGATATTGAAGTGCTCCGACTAGACTTCTATACAAAGTAGGATCTTTCATTGGAATTCCTTCTGACACAAGCAATTGAGTATGAGGTTTGGATGGAGTAGGATGTGGTTTATAAGAGCTTATGCCAGCTTTGTTGATTAACTCCTTTGCATACTTAGATTGGTTGACAAATAACCTGCCATCAGACTTGTACATAATTTGCAAACCAAGAAAATATGTCAATTTCCCCATATCTTTTTGTTGATGCACAAAATCAGTGAGGACTTTGGTACAACAGAAAGTGTTAAGTTTATGACCTTCGCTAGATTGCTCTGGTCATTAGTGTGGATAAGTATGTAAATGGATAGAGACAGGGAAGCAAACACAAGATGTACGTGGTTCACCCAGATTGGCTACGTCCACGGAGTTCTCATTAATTGTGAAGGGTTTACACAAGTACATAGGTTCAAGCTCTCCTTTAGTGAGTACTAATGAATGATTTAGTACAAATGACATTAGGAAATATTGTGAGAGAATAATCTCTATTTATAGAAGAGAGTTTCTAGTTTCATTCTGACATTGACACGTATCGTGTTGTGATTGGCTTCTAACGTCGACACGTGTCGCGCTGTGATTGGCCTCCTAGTTGGAGGGAAACTCTTCTGGGTTCGTGACGGTATAACGTTGACCTGTGCTCAGTAGTTTCAGGATTGGTCAAGTATGGTACAAACAGTGATCCCCTAAGTTCCCGAGTGAGGGAAGTTCCTCGGTTGGGGACTTGCAAGATCTAAGCCGTTGAGTAATCACGAAACTTCTAAGTACCGAAGTGTGGTATCATTTTCACTTGCCTTATCTGTCTCATATGTAGATGTGACATCTTCTCTGGAAGTACTTTTCTTCCATCCAGGGGTGGTATCTTTAACCGATAAAGATGCACAAGGTAATGTATCAATTTCACTTGAAGCTTACTTGTAGTTTCGGGCTTAGTAAAGTACGATACAAACCCTATAGTAGGAATCCCCCAAGTCGTCGAGCTAAGAGATTTGCCGAATGAGGTAACAGACAAGGTAAGCAATCAGACTTCCAAGCAAGTAACCAGGATCGAAGGTTCGACTTCGGCTTCTGGTTGATTGTTCTCCTTCTCCTTGTGTCATAAACAGTAACAAGGATAAGGAGAAGCAAATGGAGAAGGGATGATATGAGATACTTTTGCTTTTGAAGAAGTAACTTTCCACAGGCTTATTTTTTAACTGGGCTGAAGGGTTTTCTAGTTTCCTCTAAAGTATAAGGCCGACTCAAGAATTTGAGGGTCAAAACAAGTCCATCAAATCTAGAGTACATTCGACCTTGATGATATGGGATACTTTTGCTGTTGACAAAGTAGTGGATGTATCGGCACGTGTTCTGTTACGTTTGTCTCCACATGCTTCCTTGTATCATTCTCACTTGCCCTATCTGTTCCTCAGGCAGATGTGGTATCTTCTCTAGAAGCATAAGATGTTGAAGATGAGTACTCGAGAGCAATGCCAGATAAGTAATCAGGCAAGGGGCTCCAGGCAGTGAGTTCCTGACTGGAAGCTTGATTCCAAGTGCTGACTGATTGCTCTCTTTCTCATTGTCTTGCAGGTAAGAACAAGGTCAAAGGAAAAGACAGGGAAAAAGCATGATATGGGATACTCTTGATTTTAACCCTGATGATATGAGATACTCTTGCTCTGGTGTAGCTTGTTTGCAGAGGCATTATCGGGAGGAAAAGAAGCTGAATATTTCGAGAAACTCTGCTGAGAGTACCCTCTCGGATATGAAGAAAAGTTGAGCATTTTTTTTTATTTGCAGGTCTGCCTGGCTGTGGAGGATGAAGGTCGACATATATAGAAGTCTCCCTAATCAAGTAGTAGTGTTATTCATTTACCCTTCTTGGCCATAATAATGTAGTGGGAGCTGCAACCTTCATGTGTTTTAACTTTGTCAGAGCACTTTGAAAAAGTGGTATGTGGTATCTGGAAAGCTGATGTTGCATGTGAAGATTGCAGACAAGCCTTATCCAAGGAAATTTGGCTCTCGAAGTTCGGAGAGCGATGCCTCTTCAGTTTTCGAACAAGCAATCTTGTCGGGGATTTGGCTCTCGCGATTCAGAAAACGGTGCCTCTTCGATTTTTGAGAAAGCAATCCTGTTGGGAGTCTGACTCTTTAGATTCGAATAGCAGTGTCTCTTCGATTTTTGAAAAAGAAATCCTGTTGGGAGTCTGGCTCCCGAGATTCGGAGGGTGGTGCCTCTTCGATTTTTGAGCACGTAATCCTGTTAGGAGTCTAGCTCTCGAGATTCGGAGAGCAGTGTCTCTTCGATTTTTGAGAAAGCAATCTTGTTGGGAGTGTTTTCTCGAATGTGAGTAAAAGTTGGGCATTTTTGCCAGTCTGCCTTACCACGGAGCACGGAAGTTGACACACAATGGGAGTTTCTAGTTATCAAGCAATGGTGTTGTTCTTTTACCCTTGTGGGTAATAGTAGGGTAGCTGGACCTTCAAAATTTATGTGTCTAAACTTTGTCAGAGCATTGGTAAAGTTATCTGTGGTACCCGAAGAGCTGATGTTGCGTGTGGAAAATGGTGCATCTTCGGAATCCGGAGAGTGGTGCCTCTTCGATTTTTGAACCTAGGGCCCTGTTGTCTTTTCTTTTATAAGGGCACCAATTATGTGCAAGAAGTACATTCAGAGAGTTATTGCTTGTAGGAATTTTGCCCTTACTTCAAAGATTTATTGCACCTCATTTCTCTTTCATCATTTCTGAGAATGTCTGGCCCATCCGACCGTCATTTTGACTTAAACTTTGGTGAAGAGGCAGCCATGCCTTCTCAAGACAACATATGGCGCCCATCATTCTTATCCCATATTGGTCCTCTTACTGTTGGGGACTATGTGTTGAAGAATGATATGACCGCTGCGGTGGTGGCCAGGAACCTTCTCATTCCCAAAGATAACAGACTACTTTCCAAACGGTCTGATGAGTTGGCTGTTAAGGATTCTCTGGCTCTCAATGTTCAGTGTGCAGGTTCTGTGTCTAATATGGCCCAACGCCTATTTGCTCGAACCCGCCAAGTTGAATCATTGGTGGCTAAAGTAATAAGTCTCAAACAGGATATCAGGGGGCTCAAGCATGAGAATAAACAGTTGCACAGGCTCGCACATGACTATGCTACAAACATGAAGAGGAAGCTCGACCAGCTGTAGGAATCTGATGGTTAGATTTTATTTAATCATCAGAGGTTTGTAAGTTTGTTTCAAAGACATTTATTGCCTTCGTCTACCGGGGCTGTACCGCGTAATGAAGCTCAAAATGATCAACCTTCGGTGCCTCCTCCTTCTGAGGTTTTGTCTAGTGCTGAGGCTTCGAATAATCACCCTCTGGTGCCTCATCTTTCTGGGGTTTTGCCGACTGCTGAGACTTCTCCTGAGCAACCTTTGTGAAGGCTCCATCTTGTTTGTTTATTTTGATTCATGTATATGTACATATTTGTAACTTATCAGAGATATCAATAAACAAGCTTTGCTTCATTTCAACTTATTGTGTTAAATACACCAAGGCCTTCTTCACTAAGTTCTTTGAATTTTTCCTTTTGTTGAAGCTTGTA